TATTATTATTATTATAAATTTTTTTGGGCATATTTTTTTATCAACAAAATATTTTATTTCTTGCGTACAAGGGTACCCAAATCTTTTGTTTTTTTTTTTACTATATAAATGCCTAAGCCGCTTTAGTGTGAAGAATTAGGAAGTTTTATTTCTGGGTTAGGGAAAGTCCAAAAAACCGAAATCAATTGAACATCGGGAGGGCAAATTCGACATTTAAGAAACCAAAATCAATTGAGAGTCAACCGTGAAATTGGAATTTTTTAGCAAGTGGGTGATAGTGGAAAGTCGAAAAGCCCATCACTGGGAGGCAGTTGAGAACGAAATTAGAGGGCAAATTTGAGATTTCACTAGGTCAAAATTAATTGAGATCTGTTGGTAGCGCACACATATTGTCAACAACCTTCCTCCCTGTCTTTCTTCACGCTGCCAAACTGAGCAAACTCAGCAGCATTCCTTCTTCCATTCATTTTAGAAGAAGCAATAGAAGAGAATGTAGAAGGGAGGGACAAGTTTTGACAAAATGGCTCCCACCAAAGAACTGCATCTATCTTCTGAATATCTACTAAGATGAGACTAAATTTAACTAATTTGATCTTTACCGATAAAAAAATAGTCTATGAGACACCACCATAAAAGAAAATGACTAAATGAGAATGGAAGATCCACAAAAGAGTCGATATTTGACACAATCTATTATAAAATGAGCTGCACATCATATTGCAAACTAACCTAAAAAACTGAAAGCTGAGACTACTGCATCATCTTCAATGGTGATTGTCAATGTTGACTGCCCAACAATAAAAGCAATTGGATTCAAATAACAGAATAAATTCAGAAAGTTTCTATTGTTCATTAGACAAAGAGCAAGCGGCATTACCAGAAATGAACTATAAAGAAGTATGAAGAAATGCAGAATGAAACAAGGAAAAGAACTCTTATATGTTTAAACTGTTTTCTAGAAAGCACGTAGCAAATAGCTACTCATGAACCTCAGACCATTAGAAGAACTCCTATACAAAACATTTGTGAACTAATTACAGCAAGTTACATAAGGAATCATCAATGGAGGAGGCATTTATGCCAGCGATTGCTGCATCAATACAGATCCATACTCATTAACATTCCATAATTAATATGGAAATCTCCTATAAAAATTTTATGGATTGTCTTGAGCCTCTCTTGTTGGGTTTCTGGTCCCAAAATTGAGATGAGTTTCTCGAGACTACCTTTGTTGTAACAAACTCTAAATCACCAGAAGGGATAAAAAGAAAAAATTCATCAAGATGACACTATATTAATGACAGCAAGTGAAGACGTTTTTTCACGTTTCAATAATTACTCTTTGGCTTTGGCAGCAAATTAGGCACCTGAATGTCAGAGTCAACAGAATAATAAAGTGCTTCAGCCATGATAAGAGAAACCTCCTCTGAGGATGTGTGTTTGGGTCATCTCTCTCTTAGTTTCACCTTCCACGGATTCGTAATTGTAGGATGCATGTAGAATATACCCACAATAAGCAAAAATATATATTAATAGAGTATATACAATTCAAAATTTAAATAAAAGTTTATGAATAAAACTATATGATATATAAGCTCATTAAGACCAATGAGCTTAAATTAAATTCATTTAAGAAAAATGAGAAAAAGAAAAGAAAAGAAAAATCATTTGTTTCTAGTAAAATGCAAAATCAAAACTAATTCACATAAAAATAAAAATTAGAGAAAGAGAAGCAGGAAAATTAAATTCAACGGAAATGAACACAATGACAGATCTTCTTGGAGGATGAAAGACAACTGCCTGAAGCTTCTGCTGTGGAAAAGAAAAGAAAATTACAAAAATTATTACTGACTATTCTAACCATTGTTATGCTTAGGAGCACAAATAACAGACGCTGTAGAAACTCACCTAAGACTATATATTGTTGGGTTGCTGGTTTTTTCCTTTTTTGTGCCTATAAATAGTTGCACCTTCCAACAAATCTTCAAGTGGTAGGGTAATTATTTAAGGAATCACCTAGAGTTCCGCTAAAGGAGGAGTCATTATGCCAGTGATTGCAGCATCAACACTCAACTCATACATTTTAACATTCATAACTGATATGGCAATCTCCAATAAGAATTTTCCAGATCCTCTGAGCCTCTCCCCTAAGGTTTCCAGTCCCAAAACTAAGAGTGTGTTCCTTATAACCATCACTGAACTCTGAAGTATACTATACAACACCAGAGCCAGAGGGATGGATTATTTGATTGATAACGACTTTCTTTACCTTGGCTTTTGTCCAGAAACAAGAAATGATCCGTGAAGATCACGCTATAATAATAACATGTAAAGATATTTGTCATGTTTCAACAGCAACCCTTAGGCTCTAGAAGCAAAATAAAATGAGCACTTACAACAGCCATAACAACAAAAGCCTTATCTGAAGATATCTCTTGGGTCATATATCTGTTTAACGGACTCTTAATTTTAGGATGCCTGCAGGATACACCTTATATCTATCAGCAAAAGTATCCATTCATGAGTTTACTATTAGAACAACAACTTCAACTGTAATTTATCTACGATAAAAAAAACATCAAACTGACTGATGTCTACGTGGTATGACCGACCATCCTTACAGTACAAGCAAACAAAATTTAAATAAAAGTTCACGAATGAGAAATTTATGACCTACTTTTACCTCCCTTCAACATATCCAACTCAGAACTTACATATGTTAATGCTACAGTCAATTTCTTGATATTTTTTAACAAAATCCCAACAGAAATTTCACTCCTAATTTCTTGTTTATTGTTTAATCAATGCCCTCGTCTTCAAAACAATCTCTTGATTTCTATATTTACAGGAAGAACAATAAAATCCCACCAAACCATTCATGCACATTTAAAATCATTACAAGAGGTTACTATCTCAAGAAAACAAAATGTAAAACACAAGAAGAAAATTACCTGTCTAGAGTTGGCGATGGCTATAGAATGGGCCTCCAGAGAGCAGAGGTCGCGGCCGTCCGTCAGCTGATACTCCTAATCCTCTTCGAAATCGCGCAGCTACGTCAACTTTTAAAACTGATTCGAAATTTCAGTTGATTGGGAAATATGATGAAAGGGGACTATTGGGGTCCACACCTCATTTTAAGAAATTTTCATTTTTATTAAGTAAAACGCACCGTTCAAATGCAACCAAACCAAAAGTACTTTCTTTAATTGAAATTATAAGGAATCTCATATCAGTGGAGAAATGGACACTTCAATCTTCAAAGGGACCCCATTTCCTCATATGATGTGGGTTGTTGGGAACTTGAAATTCCATATTTGAATGTAATGTATTTTTTTTTTTAAATTAAGTTATCTTTAAAAATTGATAGGTCATAAAAACAAATTAAAAGATTTTGAAAAAATGTTCTTTTAATCACTACGATGTACTTGAATTTAAATAATCTCTCTTTTATTTTTCTTTTTTTTTCAAACTAAACATTTTTTAAGGGTGCTTTTTGAAATTACTAGATGATGTTGTGGCCCTAAAGAAATTATCGGGGTTCACATATCAGTAGACAAATGGACACTTTAGTCTACAAATTACTTGTTTAATATATTTTCATACTAAACATAATCTAAGGGTAATTTCAATTAGGGTACTTTTTGAAACTACTGTATAATGTTGTGGTTGTAAAGAGATTATGATGATTTTCATTTTAGTTGACAAATGGATAGTTCAATCTTCAAATCACCTACTTAATTAATATTAGGGGACTCATCCCCTCATAAATATGGATTGTTGGAAACTTGGAATTCCATATTTGACTGTAATATTTTTTTATTCTTCTATATATTAGAGAATTAATTACTTGATATTATAAAAATTTGAATCTCTTAACTTAAGTGAAAATTTTAAATTAATAGATACTAATTCAATTAAACTCTTATTGATGAATGTAACGTATATTCTTTTCTCATATTAAGTTGTTTTTAAAAATTGATAAGCCGTTGAAAAAAAATATTGAAAGATTATGAAGGAGTATTCTTTTAATCAATAGGATATATTAGAATGTGAATAACTTCTCATTAAAAAAAAAAAAAAGAAGAACTAAACATACTCTAAGGGTACTTTAT